TAAGTCATGGAGAAGAGCCATTTATGCTTGAATAGGTCATACCCTAAAAAAGCAGTAAATAAATTATAGCTTTCTTTTTTAATTTTGAAAAACAAATGCTAATACTTTTGTTACTGAACTACAACAAATGCCTGCCAAAGACTTGGCTTCTAGCTAAGCTTAGCATGATCACCTGAAATTTTTAGATTTACATACGTGTATTCATTCTTGTATGTACCCTCTCAACACAGTTTTTCAGTCTAATACAATCAAAAGACTCATCCTGAAACCTTCTTCTCCGTGAAGTAAAGGTGTACATAACAGTGAGCTATAAATCTACAACTAAATGTCATTTTTAGGGTATGAAAAATTGGTTTGCCAATGAGTACAAATAACATATTTTAAAATTAAATACTTGAGGATTACTTAATAATACCCTTGGCAGAATTCAAATTTATTTTTTAAAATTTTGACAGCTAAAATTGATGCTTATATTAAGTATTTTTTTTGATTTTTATTGATTGAATTTTTCAGGATTGTGCAAAATAGATTTTTATCAGTTTAGCTGACAAACACACACACGCATGCATGGTAGCTGCACCGGTAAGGCTGTGCTAGGAGGGGCAGAGCTAGTAATGCCTGGGAGCCTGGTGTCACCAGCCCTTCTTTTTGCCCAGGTCCCAGCCAGGGCAGGGGCCAACCTCCCACTTGCCCATCACAGGACTTTGACCCCTGCCCCACCCCAGCTGGGACCTGGGCAGAGAGAGGGTGCCACTGGCACGGGGCTTCCTGCTGCTACCTGTCAGTTTCATAGCTGTTAGGGTCAGAAGGGACCTGAGCAGATCATCAAGTCCGACCCCCTGCCATGGCAGGAAAGAGTACTGGGGTCAAACAACCCCAGCAAGGTGTTCGTCTAGCCTTGTCTTAAAGACCCCCAGGGTAGGAGCCAGCACCACTTCTCTTGGAAGTTGGTTCCAGATCCTAGCCACCCTGACAGTGAAGTAGCACCTCCTGATATCTAGCCTAAATCT